AGATAGATAGATAGATAGATAGATGATAGATAGATAGATAGATAGATAGATAGATAGATACAGTGGGGCAAATAAGTCTTTGATACACTGCCGATTTTTCAAGTTTTCCCACTTACAAAGAATGGAGAGATCTGTAATTTTCATCGTAGGTACACCTCAACTGTGAGAGACAGAATCAAAAAAAAATTTCCAGAAAATCACATTGTATGATTTTTTTAATAATTACTTTCCATTTTATTGCATGAAATAAGTATTTGATACAATAGAAAAATAGAACTTAATATTTGGTACAGAAACCTTTGTTTACAATTACAGAGGTCAGACGCTTCCTGTAGTTCTTGACCAGGTTTGCACACACTGCAGCAGGGATTTTGGCCCACTCCTCCATACAGGTGTTCTCCAGATCTTTCAGGTTTTGGGGCTGTCGCTGGGCAACATGGAGTTTCAGCTCCCTCCATAGATTTTCTGTTGGGTTCAGGTCTGGAGACTGGCTAGGCCACTCCAGGACCTTGAAATGCTTCTTACGGAGCCGCTCCTTAGTTGCCCTGGCTGTGTGTTTGGGGTCATTGTCATGCTGGAAGACCCAGCCACGACCCATCTTCAATGCTCTTACTGAGGGAAGGAGGTTGTTGCCCAAAATCTCGCAATACATGGCCCCATCCATCCTCCCCTCAATACGGTGCAGTCGTCCTGTCCCCTTTGCAGAAAAGCACCCCCAAAGCATGATGTTTCCACCCCCATGCTTCACGGTTGGGATGGTGTTCTTGGGATTATACTCATTCTTCTTCTTCCTCCAAACACGTCGAGCGGAGTTTATACCAAAACCTTCTATTTTGGTCTCCTCTGACCACATGACCTTCTCCCATGCCTCCTCTGGATCATCCAGATGGTCTTTGGCAAACTTCAGACGGGCCTGGACATGTGCTGGCTTGAGCAGGGGGACCTTGCGCGCGCTGCAGGATTTTAATCCATGACGGTGTAGTGTGTTACTAATGGTAACCGTTGAGACTGTGGTCCCAGCTCTCTTCAGGTCATTGACCAGGTCCTCCCGTGTAGTTCTAGGCTGATCCCTCACCTTTCTCAGGATCATTGATACTCCACGAGGCGAGATCTTGCATGGAGCCCCAGTCCGAGGGAGATTGACAGTCATCTTGAATTTCTTCCATTTTCTAATAATTGCGCCAACAATTGTTGCCTTCTCACCAAGCTGTTTGCCTATTTTCCTGTAGCCCATCCCAGCCTTGTGCAGGTCTACAATTTTGTCCCTGGTGTCCTTAGACAGCTCTTTGGTCTTGCCCATAGTGGAGAGGTTGGAGTCTGATTGATTGAGTGTGTGGACAGGTGTCTTTTAATACAGGTAACGAGTTCAAACAGGTGCAATTAATACAGGTAATGAGTGGAGGATAGGAGGGCTTCTTAAAGACAAACTAACAGGTCTGTGAGAGCCAGAATTCTTGCTGGTTGGCAGGTGATCAAATACCTATTTCATGCAATAAAATGGAAATTAATTATTTAAAAATCATACAATGTGATTTTCTGGATTTTTTTTTTGATTCTGTCTCTCACAGTTGAGGTGTACCTACGATGAAAATTACAGATCTCTCCATTCTTTGTAAAAGGGAAAACTTGAAAAATCGCCAGTGTATCAAATACTTATTTGCCCCACTGTATATATATGATAGGTCTATACACTACCAGTCAAAAGTTTTTGAACAGTAAGATTTTTAATGCTTTTTAAAGAAGTCTCCTCTGCTCACCAAGCCTGCATTTATTTGATCCAAAATACAGCAAAAGCAGTAATATTGTGAAATATTTTTACCATTTAAAATAACTGTTTTCTATTTGAATATATTTTAAAATGTAATTTATTCCTGTGATTTCAAAGCTGAATTTTTAGCATCATTACTCAAGTTACATGGCTGCTCGCTGTCCCTGTGTGATGGTCCTTGGCAAAAAAAAAACATTCCGTCGGCCTCTTAAGTGCGTCGGCCCACCAGGAAAATGCCCGGTATGACCGATTACCAATCCAGCCCTGCTTATGCACTATTCTATGCCATTTTAGCATAAATAGTGTGAGTAGTGTTCACACTGAAAATTCCAAAAAGAAAAACTTCAAGTGCTTGGATGACACACTTGGTTAACAGAAAAAAAGTGTAGAAGTGTCATACAACAGAGGGTAGAGTACATATTGTATAGTATAAGTGCCTAGTGTATAGGGCATCATTTGGGACACAATTTTTCGCTATTTTTTTCCAGAGCTAACAAAAATGGTTCCAAACAAAGCCAAAACAGTATTAATATTAATTTCTGAGCACAACACAGTAGTGGTGTTTCTTGAGTAAAATGAGGGAGAGTTTTTAAACAAATCAGTTGAGTGAATGTTTCAGTGACTCACTTATAAAGACAGTACTGTCTGAGTAGGTACTACATTTGCCGAAGAACCTACTTTGAAATCTTTTAAGAAGTATGTTTTATATATAGATATTATGAATGAAACCCGAATGACAACATGACAAGATTTACTCCCCTGGTCTTATGGGATTGTAATGTGTCCATTGGATCTCGCCAGAAGTAGTACGTCATGCAGGTATTGTTCTCATACTGCTTTTTTAATACTATGAATTTGGACACAACTACTCTTTTCACATACTGTTTTTCATCTACTATAGGTTCGTAGGCATATTCAGGTGCAGAGTCTCTCACTTGCAGAGATAATTAATTCCTGAATGAATCAGTGTTGTTAACCAAATCAGTTGAATAAATGATTCAGTGACACTTATAAAGACAGTCACTTGTATAAATATAACCTGCAAAAGTCTCACTGAAAAATCCCCACCACTAATACAAAGACTGACAATCTATCTGAAACGCACAAACACAGGCAAAGTGGTACAAGCAGTGAAATGTCCTAGTGCTGTTGGACTAAATACCAGCTTAATATCAGCCAATCAAATTCTATGTATTCTTTTTATCTGTGTGTGCACACGAGTAAGGTTACTCACTTTCTGAGCAGATGACTCCTGCTGAGATTCGTGCGGCGGCTTTCTGGCAGTTGACGGTTCTGTGGTGTTGGCACTGGCTGAGAGACATCTCATCTCCTGTACATTTCACTCCACTCATAACCATCTCTGTCACGTTACTGCTGTCCCAATACCATGTTTCCTTAGCAAACACGCAAAACAAACAAACACAGACAGACAGTGATAAGTAGTTTACTATGAAGAGAATGAAACAATCTCAATTGCCATGAAAATAATGTTACAATGCAAAAAACTTGGTCGTAAAAATAAAAATCCTATAATTTATTTATTTTGGGGTAAAACATGACCAGGCCACACTTCACTCCAAAATAAAAAAGTAAAAGAAAATAAGAAATGATACTAAGTTTTTTTAATGTATTTATTTGATTGTTTGTTTATTTATTTTTGCATTACGGTAATGAGAATTTGGGGAGAAAACATATGAATACCTTTCACATATATGAATTTCTTTCACAGGTCACACTTCACACAAAATCTAAAAAAAAATATATGCAGTGCATATATATATATATACAGTATATATATATATATATATATATATTATATATATATATATATATATATATATATATATATATATATATATATATATATAAATATCTATCTATCTATCCATCTATCTATCTATGTATATATTCACATACATAAAGTATATATCAAATATAACTATTATTGATAAAAAAGGGTAAAGCAACCAAATGGCTGTTTGATAGTGTATATAATTACCACAAAAGTGCTCACTCCTGAAAAAATAAAAAAATATTTTACAAGAAATATCATGTTCCTAAACATTCACATTGCCTAAAAAACAACATTCCTGGTGAAAGAACAGAGCTGCGTCCGCGAGCATGTGTGTATGTCATGTACTCACTGTAATAGCATGCATGCTGAACCCTAGCCCTAGCTGCCTGCATGCCACCATGGCCTTTTTGGTGGTCCAGCCCTCACTGCATACACTGCCCCACCCGCACCTCCACTCGCCCTTCATACTGTGAGTGCCCAACCTACGCTACGTCAAACACACTCACATCTTACCCCGCTCACCCATCTGTCTCCTGCCATTCGCTGCTTACCCACATACACAGAAAGACGACCCTGCTGAGGAGACCAGGAGCCTCATTTATAAAACGCACACGATCAAATTTGACCCGCCATGGGTTTGATTTTACAGAATTTATAAAAGCAAAAACTAGTACTAGTTTGGTGCTGGTCTAGCTACTGTAGTATAACGAAGCTGTTCAGTAGCAAAACTTGAGCTGACTGATCTTTTCAGCAGGTTTATTTCTGTCCATCCCTGTACTACATGCACTGACTCATGTGGTGCTTTTTCAAAGTTCAAGGCTTTGAATATGTATGTGGGAGTGTGTAAGCCAGTACCATCTGATTTTTTCGATGGTTGCAGAAAGTTCAAGGCATTGGTAGCATGCAAGTGTGTGTTGCTGTTACTGTTAGAATCCTACTTGTAGGCCATGGTTGGCGTACCCGAGGCCCAGCTGCCTGCACACAACCATGGCCTCCTCAGTTCCCCAGCCTTCTCCACAGATCAGACCCCAGCGCAGCGTCCCGTTAGTCTCAGTATGTAACACCTCCACACGGCCCTCGTAGCGAGATCGCCCACCTAAGATGCGCACCTGAGTAGGGCACAACCAGGAACGAGGGGTAAGAGGGAGTTCAACTAGATTATAGGAGAGACCGGGGCTAATTGTCACAATTCTTACTCTAAAGAATGTTTCTTGAGGTGTTTTTTGTTCATTTATTTCAAAAGTCAGTTTTGGCTACAAAAAAAACTGTCAAAGAAAGGAAAGATACATAGTAGGGTTGTCACATTATGTGGGGTAAATTTAAGCAGTAAAATAATTATGAAACCGCTATAATGTTAATGGTAACCAATAAAACTACCTTACCATTGTTTTGGGCAACAAAAATAGAAATATGTATAAAAAAAACTCTTGCCCTGACCTGAAATTTATGAAAAATATTCTTGTACTGAGAACAGTTCAACTTTGAGTTCAAATCTACCTTGTTTGAATGTACACTACTGTTCAAAAGCTTGGGGTCAGAAGGATTTTAAAATATTTTTGATAGAAAGTATCTTAGGCTCACACAGGCTGCATTTATTTGATGAAAAATACAGTAAAAAGTAATACTGTGAAATACTATTATGATTTAAAATAACAGTTTTCTATTTGAATATATTTTAAAATATAATTTATTCCTATTGGTGATCTTTCAGAAATCATTTAATATGCTGATTTGCTGCACAAGAAACTTTTAACTTTTACAACTCTTGCCCTGACCTGAAATTTATGAAAAATATTCTTGTACTGAGAACAGTTCAACTTTTGAGTTCAAATCTACCTTGTTTGAATGTACACTACTGTTCAAAAGCTTGGGGTCAGAAGGATTTTAAAATATTTTTGATAGAAAGTATCTTAGGCTCACACAGGCTGCATTTATTTGATGAAAAATACAGTAAAAAGTAATACTGTGAAATACTATTATGATTTAAAATAACAGTTTTCTATTTGAATATATTTTAAAATATAATTTATTCCTATTGGTGATCTTTCAGAAATCATTTAATATGCTGATTTGCTGCACAAGAAACATTTATTATTAATAGTGTTGTAAACATTTGTGCTGCTTCATATATTTGTGGACACCATAATAAATTTTTTCAGGATTCTTTCATGAGAGTGTGTGTCTTCAACGGTGTCTTCAACATGCATATACGTTTTCCTGCAGTAGGTGCATAATGGTTAAAGTATGTTACATCTGTTGAGATCAATCATAATAAATCACAACAGATGATTAATTAATTCCAGTAATTGTCTCTTGATACAGACAATGATACCCAATATTTCCAGTCATTCATTTTCAGTCAAAATGAATACGGAGCACAACATCATTCATTCAGTTGTAACTGAATATATTCCTCAACTGTAAGTAGCTTTGGATAAAAGCGTCTGCTAAATAATGTAAATGTAATTCATTTGATCATTGCCATGTTCTCCTTGAAATGAGAAACTAGCAATATATGCAAATGAATGTCACATCGAGTCACTGAAAACACTGAATGACATATAAATGACCTATGTGTTAAGTAACATAAAATCAACACATAAAATTTTTTTTTATGAGTGTGAGTATGTGTGTGTTGCTCTGACCGTCTTCTCATAGCCCATATATGGGACATTACAGCGGAGTGAAGCGTCTTCAGTGTGTTTGCAGTCCTCAGCAGTGATGTTTTTATAACGGCAGTTCCACAGAGAGCGCTCATGACCTGTGCACTGCACCTCATTCATATAGATAGGCCCCAACCCTGAGACAAAACACAGAAGCAAAATCCATACTGGCACAGCTAAAAATACATAAAAGTGTCCAACTAACAACTTTATTCATACAAAGACATTAGCCCTAAAAACTACCACACAGTTTCGGTTCCCATTGACTTTTACCGGACAAAAAATTGACAATGGAAGTAAATGGAAACTCAAACTGATTGGTTACCATCATTCTTCAAAATATATTTTTTTCTGTTCTATAGTAGAAAGAAAGTCATACAAGTTTGAAACGACATGAAGGTGAGTAAATGATGACTAAATATTCATTTGTGCGTGAACTATCCTTTAAATTGTACTTTTTCAAGCGTATTTAAATACTTTTGGTGCCACTGTACTGGAATACACTACATGACTTTTCAAAGAATCACACACTTTCACCAGACTTTCAAGTCGTTCCGAACACAACAAACTCACATAAATATGCGCTTTATTGCTAGCAGATGCATGACACATAAAAAACAATGTGTTCCAAAATATCAAACACGTTTGAAATCCTCTGACTGGATATCCTCCCTTTCTTGAACTGTGCATTTTAACGCAATTGTTCTTTTTTTCTTATGATGTTGTATGTCTGTACTGTATGTGTTTTTTGTGTTTGCCAGCTGTGTGTCCAAGACAAATTTTCCTAACAGGTATAATAAAGTATATCCAATCCAATCCAAAGAACCTTAGTCTGAAGCTAAAAAGTATGTGCCCCTCATACAGTATGCGATTTTTTGTGAAATCTGACTTCCTAAAATCTGCAGACTGGCTAAAACTTTCAGCAACTAGCATTGACTCCAAACTGCAAATTGGGGCAAAAATTTGGGCAATAAATGAGGGCAATTATACTTTCTCTTAAAATTCTGTATTTTTCCATTACATCCATCCATCTAACCCCTAATTTGTTTTGTTTCTCTTTTGCAATCTCACCTTGTCCCATGCGGGCACCTGTGAGGGCTTCTTTGGCAGAGCCGAAGCCCAGTTCTCTGCATACAACACTGGCAGAAAGCAGGTTCCAGCGATCATCACAAATCGTCCCCCATTCACTGCCCTTCAAAACCTCGACACGGCCCTCACCATATTTTGCTCCACCCTTCAGCCGTATGTTTTGTTTTTTCATGTCCAATATTTCCTTTGTCTCCTTTCTAATAAAGTACACTAAATAATGCATATTAAATCTACATGCAGTTGTATATAACAAGTCTTTTAAGTAATTTCAAGAATGTGCAAAACTTAAATATGTAACACATGTCAAACTGAATAGATAAATCAATGACTTTTCCTGGATGGATCCAATTATGGTAAGGCTAGTAGAGACTGGCGCGCAATTGAAAAACAGATCTTCAGCAGCTAAGCAGCACTTCATTCACCAGCACACGCTATTTCCACGGTAATTATAATTACATCAAACTAACACCATAATATACTTGATAAAGTCTTTAAATCACCTCATCTGTAAACTATATCACTACATAGGCTAAACAAATCTGCTGAGGTAACGGCGAGACGCAGCCATGGTCTGGACCCCATAGGAGTCGTAGACAAATGTACTATTAAACATCAAGTTAATAAACATGTGAGGGCGAAATGCAAACGCATGTTTATCTGTTTATTTAAAGTGACTCCAAATGTAGCTCAAGTAGCTTAACTTCTCTACGCAAAGGACGGTTCAACACCGCTGTCCATTCTTGAAGAAATGCAAGCGGAGGAGGAGAAAAGTGAAAAGCTTCACTGCAAAACTGGGAATAATACAGGGACGTAATAGAGGAAGTGCAGACTTACTTGGCGTCCAGCTGCTCTGTGCAAGTAAATACTCTATTCAACAGTATTTAGGACACATTTGAGATTCAACTATTCAATCATATAGGCTACTCACAGACGAATATTATTTAAAATGGTCCCTTACCTCAAGTTAATCGGTTCCTCCACAGTCTTGGCACACAGTTTATATTTATGCACAGAACCTGAGAAGCATCCAGAAAAGAAAGAGGTACCTGCTGCAGAACCTAAACCTTGTACGAAACAAAGAAAGGCACCTAATGATCAGTGATAACGGGCTGTAACGCCAGTGGATTGCCAGCTGGACAGTCGTGCGAGAGAGAGAGAGAGAGAGAGAGAGAGAGAGAGAGAGAGAGAGAGAGAGAGAGAGAGAGAGAGAGGGAGAGAGGTGGAGCGGACTCGTGGACGACTTCACGGGGCAGGATTTCTTTGAGGAAAAACACATAGCCCTTTCACAGTTTAGGAGATTTTCCTACTTGCATAACGGAACGTTCTTCTGGTCGGGCACGTTTGTATAATGAAGATGGGTTCTGATCTTCGTAAAATTGGCTTGAATATGTAAATAAAAAAATAACACGCTACTATTATAATATACAATTTTAATGGATCATGGTTTCTGCATGTCAAAAGCACGAAGAAGCCTTATTATATTGTTATTTATATCTTTTATTACAAAAACGACAATAGTTTTGATTAAAAAGGAACAATTTCTTTTCCATGCTTTAAACAAAACGCAAGGCACATCTTATTTGCTGGTGTAGTAACAAACTGTATTATCCAGACGTGACCAATAAGTAACATACAACAGACTATAAAGAGAAGGCAACAGAACACATGTTGGTTTGGTGCTGGATTATGCAAATCCAAAAAAGAAAAAGAAAAGGATAAAGTTCTCAGCTTTGAAGAGGAGAATTATCCGTAGTGTAAAAGTTTTTGTTCCCCTCCCTGATATTAGGTCATTTTCTCTCACACAGTTGTTTTATGCAAAATGCTGTCAAACAACTCGGTTTCTCTACAAACATAATATGACCTACATGACATCTATGAAATTCTGACTCTGAACTCACTACACATAAAAGAACAGCTTTTATACAACAGACCCCGACAACAAAAATTATACTTACTCGTTTTGAATTGACATTGTATCAGTTACATACAAAACAGCAAAACGAAAAAGAAAGGTGCTTGACTGATATCAGCTTGCTGTGCCCCAAAACAGTAAAATGTACTGTAATGATTACTGTCACTAACAAACATAAACAGGTTTTATGAAATTCTGACTCTGAACTCACTACAAATAAAAGAACAGCTTTTATACAACAGACCCCGACAACAAAAATGATACTTACTCGTTTTGAATTGACATTGTATCAGTTACATACAAAACAGCAAAACGAAAAAGAAAGGTGCTTGACTGATATCAGCTTGCTGTGCCCCAAAACAGTGAAATGTACTGTAATGATTACTGTCACTAACAAACATAAACAGGTTTCAGTCACTGTTCTTCTGTTTGATGCAATATCATTTCATAACCTGTAATGATAATACAGTATGACAGCTGACTGATTATAAACGATGTCTAATCACCTGATTGTGAAGTGTTGATTTAAGCTATGTATCAGATCTTACTGTCTTATTCTCATATCAGCTGGTGGTTTTTGCATAAGACTTTGAAAATTGACCGACTCTAAATAGTTCTGAAGTTTGCAGCAATTCCTTAAACTATAGGCATGTGATAGTTTAACCTGACTGTGTATATCTCATTATTAAGAGATGTTATTTTAGTGAGTGACTATAATATTTTTGGTATTAATAAGATGTCAGGGCTTGGTCTGCATAGTTGAGGGCATGGTCTGATATATAAAGGCAACTTTGGCCTGTTTGCATAAATATTTCTGACTTTTGGTAAAAGCCACGAACTAAGATAAGGTAGCAGATCAGGATGGGTTTGGTAATTCCAAAAGTGCACCAACCGCTCCAAAATAACCCTGAAAAACACAAATAAAATGACTATGAGTGATTTGTTTAGATCTTGTTTAAGCTTTGGAGGTATTATAAAGACTCACACACACACCTCATGTCGGAGGAACAGGGCTTTGAGTTGTCCTTTGCTCCAGTAGTCCAAAGCATAAGCGAGCAGCTTCATGGATAATGTGTTCACTCGCAGAAAGTTCCCAACAAATACCACTCTTTCAATGTTCTAAATGGAAGAAACTTATAATAAGCATTGATTCTGAAAATGGCATTCCTTTAAGAGGAGTTTCCTAGGAGCTGATTGGCCCCTGGTCTCTCATAGCCCTGTACAATGCTGCTTGATCCAGATTCCACAAGGCAGCACCGTAAAGAGGCTGACAGACAAGGGCAAGGACAACATAATGGTGATTTATAGTGTGGATGTGCACATGTACCTCATTAAGTGCACACATGCGTGTGATTGAGCCAATGTTGTTTGTGATGGTGACAAGCGTTGCTCTAGCCAGATCCTCCTTGGAGACTGAGTCTCTCTTCTCCTTGCATATCATGTTCCCAAAGCTGCAAAAGAAAATGCACACACATTATATTGATTATATTGATTAACGTGTATTATCAGTGTCATAACAGAAACATTTTAAAATGGTAACAGTGTCATATAATGAATAACAATGTAAATGTTTGCATATAGCAGCATATAGAAAAAAAAGTTTTATTCATCAAGGATGCATTAAACTGAGTGTCAGAAAAGACATTCATAATGATACAAAAGTTTTCTATTTTTAAATAGTGTTCTTTTGAAATTTCCATTCATCAAATAATCCTGAAAAAAAATTATCAGTTTCAACAAACATGTTTAAGAATAATATAAGAATAATATACCCCAAAATGAAAATCTGTCATGATTTCTCACCCTCATGATGTTCCAAACCCATTAGACTTTAGTTAATCTTTGAAAAGAAAAAAAAAAAATATATATTTTTTTTTTTTCCAAATGTTCTGTCCCTCCACTGAAAGTCCAGTTAACCAAAACATGTGAAGCAAGCAGTTTAATTCCAAGTCACATGATTGTTTAGATGTAAATAAAAGTCTAAATTAATTCTGTTCATCATATAAAGAGACTGTATCTCTTAACAAGACTTGGATTAAACTGCTCAATTGATTTGGATTGATTAAAAACATTGAAAACGACCCCAAACTTTCAAACGTTTGTGTATATGACTGTACCTGGAGGCAACAGCCCATCCTGGCAAGCCAAATCGCTCATAGTCGCCACCGTAGATGTCCCTGACTAGTTTATCCACACATGTACTTTCTCCTTCTGTGGCCATTGCCAATGCTTCCTCAAAGGTGGAGCATCCAGTCAACAGGCAACACAGCCCAAGGAATGTACCACCACCAAGACTGAAGGGGAAATACAGAAAAGATTACCATAGCTTTACAGTAAAATCCCCCTGTTTTCTTAAACTGTTTAAGAGTTATTTAAAAAGAATGCAATATTATAAAGTCATGACCAACCTGGTTCCAGTGACACGCTTGTAGTTGTCTTTGGAGTATACAGCCAGTATGCTGACACCAGAGCCAATGTTGACAAGCAGCAGTGGATAGGGGTTCTCCAGGTTGTATGCCTTCTGCTCGCAGCGCTCAGGGTCTGTTGGATGCTCAAAATAGTAACATTCAGGTGGACCACTTGAGACCACTGAGTAAATGTACAGAACCCCCTTTATCAGACAGTCCAGCTCATCCAGCTTCAACAACTGCAGATTGGCCATCTTGGTGAGGAAAGACAGCACAGGGAACCATTTATTTAAAGGAACATTTCACCAAAAATCTCCCTCGGACCATTAAAGATGTATATGAGTTTGTTTCTTAAATAGGAACAGATCTGGAGAAATGTACAGTTGCATTACTTGCTTACCATTGGATCCTGGGTGCCGTCAGAATGAGAGTCCAAACATTATGGAGTTGTATTTTGGCCAGAAGAGCTTATACAGTTAAAACATCTTAAAGGGGTCATATGATGCGATTTCAAGTTTTGCTTTCTCTTTGGAGTGTTACAAGCTCTTGGTGCATAAAGAAGATCTGTAAAGTTGCAAAGGCTAAAGTCTCAAATCCAAAGAGATATTCTTTATAAAAGTTAAGAGTCAACCACGCCTACCTAAAACGGCTTGTTCTAACGCGTCCCCACATGTCTATGTCACTATGTGGAAATATTAGCATAACGCCACCCAAATGTGCATGCAAAGAAAGGCAGCGTGGTTTCAGGAACAGCAGTAGTGTTGATGCAGCCATGTCAGGGAGACGCTGTGTGTTTCAGTGCGAAAGCAAAAGCACTATATTTGGCCTTCCGGAAGTGGATGCAATTAGGAATCATTGGTTAAGATTTATTTACAACAGAACAGCACAACCCAGATGTTCGAATTTGTGCAACGCATTTTATGGACGACAGTTTTTTGAACCTAGAAGAGTACAATGCTGGCTGTGCACAAAGGCTATTCTAAAAAAAAAAAAAGGGTAAATTCCGACTTTGCTATGACAATCTGGCACTTCTGAATCAGTGCCTGTAAGTATGTTTTGTTATTAGTTTAAGTATTTGCTATTGACTGTTCAAATGCGGAGTTTTGCGCAGTGCAGAGTAACGTGTTGTTTGTGTGTGTGTGTGTGTGTGTGAGGGGAACAGGGTCACATCACAGGAGAGTGAACTGCCTGTCAGAAATCATAGCACGTCAGCTGTCTTAACCGCGGCTTGTGTACTGCTTCATCACTGTGTCTGTCACGCGACTCTGTTGCCCTTTCGGGCTTGAACTGATGGTAAAACTAACGACATTATTAACTGTCTTGATATTTACTTTGAAAGCTGACGCTCGCGATTATGGTAAGGGGCGTTACATTTCCAACACGTGCTTGTGGTATTCGGCCAATCACAATGCACTGGGTCAGCTGGCCAATCAGAGCAGACTGCGCTTGTCAAAGGAGGGAGCTTTGTTGAAAACTATGTGTTTGAGAGAGGCGGGGCATAGAGGACCTACAATAATGTACAGTATTTGAAAAATAATGTGTTTTCTGAACATTAAAGCATGTCAACATATTCTGTTACACCAAATAATGATCTTTAAAATAGCATCATATGACCCCTTTAATGATGGATTTGTTTCTTAGCAACACACAGCTTTTCACGTCACAAGGTGTTAATTGATAGACTGTGGTGTGGTGTGGATTATTGTGATGTTTTTATCAGCTGTTTGAACTTTCATTCTGACGGCACCCATGCACTGCAGAGGATCCACTGGTGAACAAGTGACGTAATGCTAAATTTATCTAAATCTGTTCCGATGAAGAAACAAACGCATCTACATCTTGGACAGCCTGAGGCCATCATTTCATTTTTGGGTTATTTATTCCTTCAAACAGATCACATAATATATATATATATATATATATATATATATATATATATTTATGCTACATGACGCCTCCGTCTTTGATCGAGGCAGCCTGAGCGCTTTCGGTTCTTCCTCTTGCTCCTCCGCACATCCCTCGCCGTCACAGTGGAAGCCGTTCAGCTCCATTATATCTTTTACCAAAAATTTCTACACCGACTGTTAAGCTGAAAAATCACCGTTAACATATAAAACTGCATTGTCAGTATTTCATACCGTCATTTACATCTCCACTGAAAATGTTTACGTCGCTGTGTTTACACCACAAGCACAGTTACTCGACTCTCCAATGAATGCGCTTTTCCTGTCAACTGAAATCCCAACGAGCCAATCAGGTTCTCAGTCCAGTTCATCCATTCTCTCATTGGCGAGCACGTAATCTTCTTCACCAGCAGATGGCGACCTTCACATAACAACACTGCAAGCATTTTGTTCATACCTTTTTACCTCCTTTTATGCTCTCCGACCAGAAAGACTCAAGGTAGGACATTTTATTTCAGAAATAATTCTGGAAATCATTATGACTGTGCATGATCAAGTTTAACCAGTACACAAAAAGTTTAGCGTAAGTGTAAATATTCCCCTGAAATAGAGAATCTAGCAAACATACAGGCCCAGATAAAAGATCAGGAGTAACATACAGTGCATTTAAAATTAGGTTCAATCATTTACATTAATGTGTGAATAAAGTGCTTTTGCTGATTAAAAATTAAATTAATTACATTGGAAGTGTACACGTAATTCATTCAAAGTCATTCACAATCATTACAATATGTTGCAGTTTACCCTTACACAGACAACTTGATGCTAATAGCATGAATCTTTTCATGTTGTTTCTGCAGCTCAAACGATAGGGTCATGAGTTTGAATCTCTGAGAATGCATGAATATATACCTAACTTCACATAACAACACTGCAAGCATTTTGTTCATAACCTTTTTACCTCCTTTTATGCTCTCTGACCAGAAAGACTCAAGGTAGGACATTTTATTTCAGAAATAATTCTGGAAATCATTATGACTGTGCATGATCAAGTTTAACCAGAACACAAAAAGTTTAGCGTAAGTGTAAATATTCCCCTGAAATAGAGAATCTAGCAAACATACAGGCCCAGATAAAAGATCAGGAGTAACATACAGTGCATTTAAAATTAGGTTCAATCATTTACATTAATGTGTGAATAAAGTGCTTTTGCTGATTAAAAATTAAATTAATTACATTGGAAGTGTACACGTAATTCATTCAAAGTCATTCACAATCATTACAATATGTTGCAGTTTACCCTTACACAGACAACTTGATGCTAATAGCATGAATCTTTTCATGTTGTTTCTGCAGCTCAAACGATAGGGTCATGAGTTTGAATCTCTGAGAATGCATGAATATATACCTAGAATACAGTGTTCGACAAAAGACAAACTAAAAGTATTACTGTTGTGCACTGTACCTGGAGACTTCTGCAGACGCAACACTTATATATCAGCATTATAAACAATAGAAACGTTACATTTTCACACATGGGGCACTTGGTTATGTTTGCATTTAGCTTAATCTATTTTAACGGTTACTCCACTATTGGACCCGCTTACAGCAGGCATTAGGAGAATACATTTGAATTTTGTCAAAAGCGGACAGTGTCCTGTGTGTGCACACTTTGAAACTCAAACTGCCCAGAAAATATGGGACAGTGATGGAGAAAGTGTTCACTAAGGCATCTGTGAATGAGGATTCATGAGAAACTAGATGAGTTTGAGAAGAAACACTCCTGCGAGTTTTCTGTGAGGGGGCTAACGGAGAGGGTTAGAGCGATTGTCCAGTCCATGCAATAGGCTCCAAATGAGTTTTTCAGAAATGTCCGAAAGGTTAGGTTATGCAACAGCTCCTTATATGCATGGTCTGTCACTCACAGGATGTATTCTTGCAACTTTTCATAACTCACAATACATCTAATTGTTGAACACTATAATGCCTGTCAAGCTGGGTTCTCCAATTTACTTTAAAGCTCCATGACACTCCATTTAATAGCAGTGAAATAGGTGCAACAGCAGTCAAATTAATTATCGGCCCTGGCATACATATGTAAGGCACATGGCAAACCATGATTACATATAGTTCTATATACACACACACACATGAAAATAAATACATAAGGATAAAACCACTAGAGAGTTTGGCGACAGATATTATGTTGGACAACTAAAATCTCAGTCTATTCCTCACAGCAAGCTATCAAATGGTTATAGAAGACTTGGTATATAGCACAAACATCATAAGGACTACTTTTATTGTATGTTTTGTCCTTTTCTGAGCTTGACAGCACCCGTTATTATCCACTGTTGTTAATGGAAAAGAGCAGCCTGGACATTTTGCTTCGAAAAAGAAAAATCATAGGGGTTTCATGCAACATGAGAATGAGTACCTGATGACAAAATTTTCATTTGTGGGTGAACTTCCAGGCCAAGAACACAGCAGACAGACCAATCCCTGTTGCAGCAATAAGGTGGAAGTTGTTTATCCCAAATAACTCAGGGCACCCCTCTCCTCTCTGCTCTGGCCTTGCAGCACTGGACTCTTCCTCTCGAACTTTGATGGCAGTTGACTTCTTACTGTCATGCCCAAATGGCTCCGAGAGATAAACCGCACTTTCTGTGCCAACATAGTTCATGGTATTGTGGTCCTCAGAGATGACTCTATGTTGCAGGATGCTTGGTGGCTGACCATTCATATTTTCAGCAGATGGCTCTTCAGCAAACTGAAATACATTTATCTGTGTATGACCATCGCAGATAGATTCATAGTGGTCCTCCTCAGGCTGGTTAAGGGTCAAGGGAGCAGCAGTGTATGGAGGGTCTTGAAAGGACCGAGTAGCAGAATCAAGGGAAGCAAAGGGTGCAGAGTTCTGGTCTGCATGACTAGTAGACTGTCCAGGTTCTGTGGAAGGCTCTGTTGCTTGCATCAAGCTGCTGATCTCCAAATCATTTGAAACCACTGAGCAAGGCTCCTCTTGCGAGACAGGAAGAGTCACTGGTCTGTTCTGCTGGAGTTCTGAATGCTGAAGGATGCCAGGTTTGCTGAAATATTCCTGGTCGATGGAAGCAAGAGAGTGCGTAACCACCTCAGCAGGTGCAGATGATGTTGCCTGAGCTGTTCCGGTAGAATTTGTTGGAGCATTTAAAACTGGCAATCCAACAGTGTTGTTCCTTTGAACCACCTGCAAAGAAAACAGAAGAATAAGCCACAGAAGACAATAGATTAACCATTGGAAAACCTGAAATGAGTTCACCAGATCCTTTTAATAATAAACTTTATATGTCACAGTTTTGCCAAAGAACAACAGTGAAGTGCTTTCGGTTGACCATTACCTCATTTGCAGTTGGGTCAGAGATCTCTTCCGGCTCCTGAAATGTCCTTTCCACTCTCAGAAAGGGATTAGTGTCTTGGACAGGGAGTCTCTCAG